GTTATGTGTGTGTGTGTGTGTGTGTGTGTGTGTGTTGATTGAATGAAAAACTTAATAGGAAGCTCAGCAAAGCAGTCTATGGAAACAAACATCCTTAAAACACTCATAGTGAACCCAACCCAACATATTTTTAAAGATACTTTTGATTAAAATAAATGAAGTGGATGTTGTCCTTGTAGAAATTAATACCCACATTTTTAATATCAGTGTGCATTTCAAAGTTGATCATTGGATCCTCCCTGGGGACAAAAGGCATTAATGAAAAATAAAAGGGTGGGCAATTGTGGCTGATTAACAGATACTTTGCGATTAGTTACATCATGTGATTTCCAGTGGTTTCATAGAGAAGCCCATGTCTTATTTCATGATATTTTAGAAATCAGATCAAATACCAAATCAAAATAAAAGTTCCAGACCCCAGCATAAATCAGAGATTCTTGTGCCTCATTATCATTTCTCTGCTATTCAGACTGGGTCTCAGTAGGATAATGTAACATTTGGGGAAAAAAATACAAGCCAAGAGACCAGCCCCAGATGTTAAGATGGAAAAGATCTCCACAACCACCATGGACTTCCCTTTGGTGCTCAGATAAGTGGGGAGGAAGGTGATCCAAACACTGCAAAAGACCAGCATACTAAAAGTAATGAACTTGGCTTCATTAAAGCTGTTGGGCAATTTTCTAGCCAAAAAGGCCACTGTAAAACTGATAAAGGCCAAAAAACCCAGGTAGGCAAGCACAGCATAAAACATTGAAGCTGAACCTTCATTACATTCCAAGATGGTCTCTCCTACCAAGGAGTGGAAGTCCAAATTGGGAAATGGGGGAGAGGTTACTAGCCAGGTGACACCAAGAATTCCTTGGATCAGGGGACAGGCTAAGATAATGGAATTAGTTAGTGGTTTTCCTAAGAGTTTCCTTGTCCTGTTCCCTGGCTTGGTGGCCATGAAAGCAAGAACCACCATGACAGTTTTTGCCAAAACAGAGGAAACTGCAAGAGAAAATAGAATGGCAAAGGAAATTTGTCGGAAGAGACAGGTGATCTTCCTGGGTTGACCAATAAAGAGGAAGGAGCAGAGAAAGCAAAGCAGGAGGGAGACCAGGAGAATATAGGTAAGATTTTGGTTGTTGGCCTTGACGATTGGTGTACCATGATGTTCAAGAAAAATAATCAGGATTGCAAATGTGATCACAAAGAGAGAAAAAGCTAGAGAAGCTAAAGCATATCCCAGAGGTTCTTCATAGGCAAGGAAATGGAGCTTCTTGGCAATACAGTGGTCATTATCTTTGTTTGGATATTGGTCTTCTGGGCAGAGATCACAGTGGGCTGCATCTGGAATCAAAAACCTTTATCTAAGAATTTTGAGGGGCATTTGCCATGGGCAATATCTCTCTCTCAGGGGTTACATGACTATCCTTTTCTTTTGTGGCCAACCCACAATAGTAATGATAAGGTGATGCATTGTGCACTTTATGATGTATCAAAAAGAACTAATCATCCTTCATTTATGATGATCCTGAGATTAGATCAGCCAGAGACAAATATCTATTCAGTTCTAAAAAGCCTGGTTGCTGGGAAGGAAAAGGCCCTGTACAGTCTTTGGGCACTTCCATGCCCATGTATCTTTAAGTCTCAGAGAGATTGCCAACTGTGTTTTCCCCCACTTTATATTGCAATCCTCAACTGACTGATAGATGTGTCAAATAGCTATTCTGCTAATTGTTTATGGAGATTCTCAGTTATCCAGGTCATAGTTGTCCCAAAGGTGCTTTTTCAAAAGGCAACTGGACTTCCTTTGTTTTTCTTTGAAGACCTTTTGCGTTTCACCCAAAAAACTTCCTCAATTCTGACAGAATGATGGAGGATGGAAGGATTTACTGTATATTCCTTACAGCCATTTGGTGGTTAGCACACTTTCTGAAAGTCATTGAGGCCACTTTGAGGTTCATCTGTGCCCTCAGGATCACCTGAATAGTACAAATGGGTGTGGAAGCTTCTTAGAAAGGACCATGTTGTAAACAGGAGGTAGGGAGTGTAGTATCCTCTTAGATAGAAGCCTCAACATTGAAATTTACAGAAAACCCACACAGAGAAATCAGTATTTACATTTTAATTCACACCACCCACTGGAGCACAAATTAGAGTGATCAGAACTTCACCACCAGGCTGAAGGTTTGCCTACTAGCAAAGAGAGAAAACAAAAAGAACTAAAACACATCAAGGAAGCTCTCAGAACTTGTGGCTATCCCAACTGGGCTTTCATCAAATAATAAAAAAGACCCAGCAGGAGCTTCTCATAACAGATAACGAAGAGTACAATAAATGAAGCAACATTGTCATTCCATACATTACAGGACTATCTGAAAACTCAGGAGGATTTTCTGCTAACACAACATACATGCATATTTTAAACCCAAGAATCTGCACTGTATATCGGACATTAATACAATTGAGCAAGTCCAGAAGTATTTCACAAGAAGAGTACTACACTCCTCTGCTTGCAAAAGAATACCCTTCACCACCAGGCTTGAAATTTTGGGTTTGGACAACCTAGAACTATGCCACCTATGGTTGGACTTAAGCGTAGTACACAAAACTATATGCTACAATGTCCTACCAGTCAATGACTACTTCAGCTTCAACCACAACAATACAAGAGCACACAACAGATATAAACTCAATGTAAACCGCTCCAAACTTGATTAAAGAAAGTATGACTTCAGCAACAGAGTGGTCAATGCATGGAATGCACTACTTTACATCCTCTAACTCCCACTCTTTTAACCTTAAAATATCTGCTATTGACCTCACCCCATTCCTAAGAAGTCTGTAAGGGGCATGCATAAGTTATTACTTATTACAGACCAATCTCCTTATGCTGCATCACCTGTAAAGTCATGGAATCAATTATTAACCAATCCATTATCCTCTACTTAGAGACAAACAACCTACTCTCCAATAAATAATTTGGTTTCAGAAAAATACTATCCTGTAATCTGCAACTCTTACACTGCAAAAACATATGGACTACACAACTTGATCAGGGCAAAACAATAGACGCAATCTACATAGACGTCTGTAAAGCCTTTGATTCAGTGGTACATGACAAACTACTCCTAAAACTAAAATCTGATTATATCTCTAGACAACTGCATAACTGGATAGAAGCATTCCTGTCAAACAGACAACAAATGGTCAAAATTGGGAGTGTCCTATCAAATTCTGTACCAGTCAATAGTGGTGTCCCTCAAGACAGTGTTCTAGGACCAGCCCTCTTCATACTCTACATAAATGACTCTGTGATCATATTAAGAGCAACTGCGTTCTCTTCATTGATGTTTTAAAAATGTTCAATACCACAGACAATACTGCTACCCTTCTAAAAGATCTTGACTGTGCATCAGAATGGTCAAACAAATGGCAACTTCAAATCTCAACAAATATATGCTCTGTCTTACATATTAGCAAAAAAAATCAGAAAATAAAATACAAGCTAAATAGTCAAGACCTTGTTGATGATCCAAGCTCTGTAAAGGACCTTGGAATACTCATCTCTAATGATCTAAGTGTGAGAGCCCTCTGTAACTACATAGCGAAAAAGGCATTAAGAGTTGTTAACCTAATCCTATGTAGCTTTTTCTCTGGTAATATCACATTATTAGCTAGAGCATACAATACATTTGCTAGACCAATACTCGAATACAGCTCATCAGTCTGGAATCCGCATTATGTATCTGATATTTACCCAGTTGAGAAAATCCAGAAATATTTTACAAGAAGAGTTCTCCACTCCTGTACTCATTGTAGAATACCTTTTGCCACCAGACTTGAAATTCTAGACTTAGAAAACCTAGAATTATGCCATCTTCGGTCTGATCTAAGTATGGTATATAAAATCATACGTTGCAATGACTTACCTGTCAATGAATACTTCAGCTTCAACCATAACAACACAAGAGCACACAATAGATACAAACTCAAGGTTAATCGCATCAAACTTGATTGCAGGACATACAACTTCAGCAATAGAGTGGTCAATGCCTGGAATACTCCACCTGACTCTGTGGTTTCTTCCCCAAACCCCAAAAACTTTAATCTTAGACTGTCTACTACTGACCTCACCCCTTTCCTAAGAGATCTGTAGGGGGTGTGCATAAGTGTACCAATGTGCCTACCATCCCTGTCCTATTGTTTCTTTTATTTTTCTTATATGTATCCATTTCATGTATTCATAACTATGTATATATTTATACCTATTATCTTGTAAGTGATTGACATCAAAATAAATCAAAATAAATCAAAATAAGTGCACAATCATGCCTACCGTCCCTGTCCTATTGTCCCATTTATTCATACCTATTTCCTGTATTCATACTCGTGTTTATTCTTATACCTATTATCTTGTGATTGACAAATCAAATAAATAAAAATAAAAATACGCTCAGGCAGAAGTTTGTCCACCCCAAGGACACAAACTGAGCAATTTGATATATGCAGTACAATGCAGTGAGACATGTGTAGACCTGTCCATTGGAGAAACAAAACAACCACTTCACAAATACATGGAGAACACATCTTTCAGGGCAAGATTCAGCAGTCCATCTGCATTTGAAAGACAAAGGCCACTCTTTTGAAGATAGCAAAGTCCACATTTTCAACAGAGAGGACTGCTGGTTTGAAAGAAGGTTCAAAAGGCCATCTACTGCCAGGATTCCAACACTTAACTCAATTTAAATCATGAGTCTCTAGCCAAACTCCAAAAGATTTATTGGGAGTTAGAAGATGCGGCATTGCCTGGGTGTAGCCAACTCCAAGAAACATAATTCATTGTCACCATTGACCCTGGTTTTCCCCCACTCCCTGGGTGTATCATAATTCATGTTTTCCAATGGGACACATCCATAGTCAAGAGTCATCAATCATACTCTCCAGTTAGAATTTTGCACGGCAGAAACCTCGGTCACCTAGAAATTAGCAGTTTAAAATAATGGGATTTACTGTAAAATATGTTCATGTTATCATCATCATCATGAGCAACAACATTATTTTTTCAACTTAATTCTTTTTGTCTCCACAAGCCTATTGTGTCTTAAGTCAATGCAGATCCAAAGCCAAAGGATAGCCACCTTTCAGCACATAATTTTTATGAACATTGAGATGAAATAGGGAATAGAATTAAAATCATGTGAAGTATTAGAACCATTTTCAAAACTTTAATAAGACCACACCAGGACTATTGAATCCAGTTTTGGTCACCACATTGCAAAAAAGTTGTTGAGACTGGAAAAAGTGTGGACAGAGCAACTAAGATTATTAAAGGCCTGTGTCAGTTTTGATCAGAAACCTCGGTCACCTAGAAATTATTTTTGAAAACATTTATGGAATGCAAGCTGCCCACTGCTTCCCCCTCCCTTTCTGTTGGCAACTCCAAAAGACCACAGAAGTATTTTATGAGTTGACATCTACATTAACATTGAACAACCTTCTCTCAAAAGAGATGTTTACAACACAGTCCTTTCAGCAGTTCCAAAAAGGTTCCACACCTATTTGCACTGTTCAACTGATCCTGAGGGTACAGATAAACCTTCAAGTGGCCTTAATGACTCTCAGAAAGAGTGCTAATGATCAGATGACTTGCAAGGAATATAAATCTTTACATCCTCCTCCATTCATTCAGAACTGAAGAAGCTTCTTCAGTTGGATGAAAAGTAAAACATCTTCAGGGAAAAACAAAGAAAATTCAGTTGCCTTTTGAAAAAACACCATTGGAATAGCTATCCTGCTATTTTCTATGTCTATATATTATTATTGGTGTGTGCTGTGAAGGTTACAAAAAAGAAAAGGTGATAAAAATGAGCACTGCATCTTTCTTTTCCTGATCAAAAGTGATTTACTGGAAATTTATTCCAAAAGGGGAAAAGGAAACAAAGATCCAGATCCAAAATAGCACTATTGGCTTTGTACTTCCCATCTACTTATCTAGATGTGTTGTGGTTCAATGGCATCCTGTGCAGATGGGCAGTGGAATTGGATAGTGAGGAAGAATGGGGACCAGTCTGGGAGTCAGGGGAGGACTCGAACGAGGATCCTGCATCCGATGCAGAGATGGGGCCAGGATCATCTGGGAGTTGTGTGCTGACTCCGGAGCCTCCAGAGTCTGGCAGCAGCAAGGCAGAGGAAGAAGGGGAGCCTGTTCCCAGTACACGTGCATGCAGAGCTGCTAGAAGGCAAGAGCAGCTAAGACAAATAGGGGCAATTTGGGAGTAAGGCTTGGAGGTGATTGCTCCTCCCCCTAAGATATAAAGGAAGTGCAAAGATAGAGAAACCTTTGCAGAAAGCAAAGTCTTTTGCTCTGTTCGGATTAAACCTTGCAGCTCTTTGTGGACTTTGTGCTTCAGTTGGTTTTTTTTACAGTTGATTTGGCACTTTAGTTGTTGGCAGCAGTTCAAAGGAGATAAAGGTGGGTGCTTATCTCAAGGGACTACTTGGGATTCATTACAGGCTGGGAATGAACATAATTCCCAGCGTTGAAATAAAACAAGAGTTGTTTGGACTAAGCATGTGCTTAATTACTGTCTCAGGAAGCCTTGGTCAGAACAAGACTTTTTTTGGGGGGTGCGGGGGGTTGGGGCTTGCATGAAAGAGTTAGCAAACATGGATAGCCAAATCTTCTTTTTCCCTCAACAGGTCTATCAATTGCCTGGGGCTGACAATACTGAGAGAAGAAGTGCACCCCAAATAATAAAAACTTAAAGCTTGAACTTCATATCCCATTCCTTCAGAAAAACAATGTTGCTTGGTTTTCCTTAGGAGATGTGATAGTAGGAATGAAAAAGCTAACAAGGGGCCCCATAAATTTTGCCCTGAAAGTACCCTACCATCAGAGGATAATTAGGATGGCAGAAAAACAATTACTACAACCTGCCTTCATTCGAGGACCTGTATACTGCACAAGTCAAAAAGGGCTGTGAAAATATTTACAGACCCCTCATATCCTGGACATAAACTGTTTCAACTCCTTCCCTCAAAATGATGCTATAGAGCACTGCACAACAGAACAACTAGACACAAAGACAGTTTTTCCCCGAAAGCCATCACTCTGCTAAACAAATAATTCCCTCAACACTGTTCAACTATTTACAAAGTGTACACTACTATTACTGTTAATCTTCTCATCCTTCTTGTCACCCATCCCCTCCCACTTGTGACTGTATGACTGTAACTTTGTTGCTTGTATCCTTATGATTTATATTGACTGTTTCCTAGTATGATTTGATTGTTTACTGTACCCTATGACTATCATTAAGTGTTGTACCTTATGATTCTTGACTCTCAATGAATGTATCTTTTCTTTTATGAATACTGAGAGCATTTGCACCAAGACAAATTCCTTGGCCAATAAGGAATTCTATTCTATTCTATCTTATCCTATCCTATTCTATACCCTACATTAAATTGCTGAGAAACTGGAAGGGTGGCCTATGGAGGCAGGGCACTTTAATGGCTTCCTGAATCTTGGAAGAACTATATTACAAAGGTACTGTACCTGTCTGATTAGAAATGGTCCCTTCTGAACAAGGGGCACATTGGTAGCAGCAAATCTGCTTGCCCTCTGGAATGCTCCTCCTCTCTCCTGCATGACACCTCTTCATGCCACACCTGGCAAAGGGCACCTTCTAAAAGAGAAAAGAGAAATGCTTGAGATGACCTAAGCAACAAATAACCTTCATGTACTCATTTTCACATTTGTTTTTCCATCTTCAGAATGTCTTTAAAATAAATGGCCCATGGAACAGCTCCTGGGGGACTCCTGCCAATGCACAATGGATGCTAAAGTTTGGAACTGGCATCCTGGCATGCCAAGGAAGTCTTGAGCCATTGAGCTACAGCTTTCTAAAGCAAAGAATTATGACAGTCCTGCTGAACAGGAAAGGTCCAAGGAAATTGCTGTTCCCTACTCTAACGGCATCTTAAGTTCCCTGAAGTTCTGTCCAATCTCAACCCTTCATAGACTCAAACATGTTGCATACAAAGCTTTTCAACAAATGGCTGCCATGTTTTCTGTTTAAATAGATGTATTTTCCAGAATGAAAGAAGTTCTGCATCTCCAGGAGAGAATGTATCTTTCACTGAATTTACATTTCCTTCCAGCTTGCCTTTGTGACCCAGATGATTGCATCTGCATTAATGGTGAAATCTTGGCTTGGGGGAACCCCAAGATCTATTTGCCCAACTTTTGTGGAGCTAAAAGATTGATTGGGCAGGAAAACCCAGTTGAGTAGATCATAACGAGCAGATTCCAGTCCATTTTCTGAGAAGGAGACTTCATCTCCAGCACTGTTGTTGAATTGGACCTTCCTCAAATAGGAAAGAATCTGAAAAAAAGAGAGAAAGGGATCTTCAGAAATTGGAGTACTTGGCTGAAAGCCACAAATGAGACACCATGACTTCTATCATTCTGTGATGGCCATTGTCTTAGGAGATGGATCTAAGTCTGAGAACCTAGAGGTTCTTCCCTAGGTAGAGATCAGGAGTAACATTAAATATTTAGGTACTTCCCCATGCTACATTTCTATTTATCATGACAAACAAATGAGGTCACACACAAAGCTAAACCAAAGAAATCTTAACAAAGACTTAAAATAACTTTATTGTTACTTTAAAAGTACGCTAATCGTCATATATTAAAATGAAATTTTGTTGCATTCAGCTATCGAAGGGTCATCACCTCCAATATACATTACACAAACATTACAAAAGTACAAATAAATACATGAAAAAATAGGCATTACCAACATATATGACACAGAGAAACAACACAGTATAGTTTAAATGTATACATGGACATGGTGAGCAAAACTAATCTTGCAAGTTTACCAAATGGATGGCACAGGGAACAAAGCTAGTACAGAATCTGGTAATCCTGCTAGAAATACTTCGAAACCTCTTCCCAGAAGGAAGCAACAGAAACAGACCATAAAACGGGTGTGTGGGGTCTAAGCACATGGTGCTTATAAGCAGTATCCTGAATAATAGGAAGCAAACTTCCTATAATCTTCTCAGCTGTCCTTACCACTCTCTGTATGGACTTTCTATCTGAGGCAATGCTATCACCAAACCAAACAGTGATGCAAAGTTAACCAAAGGTTAACATGAATTGAGTTGAAAATCTTTTTAAGAGGTTTGTAGGTTTGCAACATTCAGGCTACATACTGATGGAAACTGAGGTGGTTCTGCAAATATGCCCACTAAGACCTCAATTTACTTGTCAAAACACAACCATTTTGTCATACTGCTCTGGGCTCACACCTCTTTCCTGGAGTGGTTATCTCCTGAACCACAGGCTACCATTGAACAATTTTCTAGGAATAAGATCTTTCCTCTATCAATCTTAAGGACAACTTTTTTTTGGTTTGCTTCTCTTTCCCCCACTCTGGCCCTTTTCAACAAAATCATAATAATTTATAGGGTGTTTTTTTAAAAAAATTATTACTTTTATGAGCTCTTCTTGGATACACTGATATGGTAGCATAGAGATACTGTATTTCATCAATAATTCAAGAAATGCATTTGGGAAGCTTCCTCTATGGATTGGATATAAAGTCACTGTCAGGTGTGGCTCCATTCAAAATCCAAGAAAGAAACCCTTATACTCCATTTTTATAGAGAAAAGTACTTTTACTGAATATGAAGTGGTAGCAAAATAAGAAATACAAGATCGGAAGCAAAAGGCATGGGAATTATATATAGAAAGTTATCCCAAGTCCCCCACCCCCAATTCAAACTGGACATCCAATCTGAAGTGTGTATAATGTCATGTGTGGTGTCTCACACATCTGGTATGCCAAGACAGTTGACCTAGAAAAGATAAGTGGCTGCATTTCTGCAGCAATTCACACAACTTCAACCTCCAGCATCCTTCCCCCCCACGAAGACCAATTATTCCTTCCCCCTGTTTCTAAAGCAGCCAGAAAGAGTCAAGCAGAAGAAGAAATCTTGGAGGCTGACATTTGGCCCTCCTGCAAAATATTACCTGCCAGGCCTGAACATTTGAGATCCTGTTTCCAAGCCTCAGCATGGCTGGATGGGTTTCCGATCCTTGCATTGCATGTAATGCATGTACCACAGCATAAACGGCATTGTAGATGTGGTAACTGTCATCAGTCATGCCTGTGTCAAAAATATACATTGGCAATTTCAGTAAAGTTTCCTTTCCTGTGCATGTATTTTTCCCCTTTGGAGAGATTTTGCCTGGTTGGTGGATTGTGCAGTTAAAGAGATTTTTCCACCATGGACGGAGAAAGACATCACCTTGTGGATTCAAGGGATCTAAAGACAGGAGGAAGTGGCTGAATCCCGAGACATCGCCAGCGTGGTCCCTGAAATGCAGAGCCCCATGGAAGGGCTTTCCATTTCTCAGTATGTCTTGAGGTTTTCTCACATTAAGTTTCCAATGGGAAGTTAAGATCCAAACTTTCAGAAACGATGTGTTTTTCAATTGCTCATGATAATACAGAAACATCTGTACATTTGCAATGCTAGTGTGGTCTGCAAACAGAATCATCACTTCAGCTTTAGACCAGGTATTAAAAATCTGATACGATTTTGACTCCAGATTACGATAATAATCAGATGTCAACATTTCACAGAAAGCCAGGCAGATCTCCTTCTCTTTGAGCATTGGAATCAGAGATGCAAGGAAATGTCCACCACTGTCATTTTCTGGGGCCAGAAGCCCAACCCAGTTCCACTCAAAATACAGGAGCAGCTGGACTAAACCATAATACTGAGCAGATTCCTTGGGATTAATCCGGAAGAAGGGAGGATAAACTGCTCTGCCTTCCTGAGTGAACTCAAAGCCAACACCAAGCTGGAGAAAGTGAGAGTGTTCTTTCAAAGACAAAGTAAAGTTTTATGGTGACTTTAGGGGTCAGCATTGTGTGGCTTATTGCTCCACCAGTCAGGTTTACTCATTGGAATTGGCAAAGTTCATCTCCCTCCCTATTTAAGAAGAGCCACCAAGTTACATATTTTGCCTGGTTGAAAGAGATTAGAAGCAGAGGTGGCATTCAGTTGTTTTGGACCTGTTCTGGAATACTGGTAGTAGAAATTTTGGGCAGTTCAGAGGAACTGGTAAATATCACCTCTGGCTGGCCCTGCCCACCTGCTCCTGCTGTTTCCCATCCTTTATTCCATTGATTTTTAGCTCAGCTGAATTGTGTGGCAGAACGGATGCCGCACCTCAGCTGAGCTAAAAAAGAGCTCAGGTGATCTTTCAGTGCTGTGTGAGGGTGATTTTTGAGTGAAGGCTGCAGAACCAGTAGTGCGCAATTTGGAATCCCACCACTGATTAGAAATCAAGGGAACAACCCACCAACATGATGTAGCACATAAACAGCATTGAAAATGTGGCCACAATTTTAAGAATATAATATTAGAAACGCAGCATTTCAAAATTATTACCTATCTCTTTGGGTTATATAAAAACATATCTTGACATATAAAATATAAAATGAATTCAATTTTAGCATGCATTCTGTTAGGAATATGAGTCAACAGCTATTTGGGTTAGAAATATATAAACCAGGATAAACATTTTAGTACTATATCTTTAAGGGAATGCAAGAGCATGCAATTGGGTGTGGTTTTTCAAACAGCCATAAGATGGAGCCAGAAACCTGGGTTGTTTAGCCTTAGTCTCAGAAGAGTGTGTCTGTTGGAAAGTATTACGGTTGCTCCATTTTTCTTAATTGACTGATATTACTGGATTTAATGTAAGTCTGATACTGAACCGTTTTTGACACTGGAATTTGATATTTGAATTATCCTGGATGAAAACTGACTGATTTTACCTGTGAATGACTTTAGATTGCTTATTTTGGACTTTGCTTAAACCTTTCTGGAAATAAAAACCTACGTTTACTGTACAGTGTATCTGTATGCTGTGTGTATTATTCCAACACTACTCTCTATACGTCTCCCTGTATGCGCTCATTCTCCTAACAGGGAATTACCTCAACACATTCTCTGTGCCATATATCCATGATCTGTCTTGCTAGATCCCCTTGGTTTCATCTTTGGCTTTTTTGTGTGCTTCTCTCCTGTTTGCTCCATACTGGTATTGTCATGCCCCTGTTGGAATCTGATTCCGAGGGGGAGGTCGAACAGCTGACAGGGAGTGGGAGTGTGGCTCCAGTGGCTATGGAGGAAACTGGGGAAGGGCACAGTCCAGCTGGGCATTCAGAGGAAGACTCAGGCCCACCACCTCTTCATCCGAGGGCATGCAGGGAGGAATGGATAAGGGAGAAACATGGGTTATGGGGGAGAAAAAGGTCCTGATTCCTTTCATTAGCTGCATCTGGGAAAAATAAGATAAAAAGGGTGTCTGTGCACAGTACCTTGCTGGAAGCAAAGCATGAATTATCTTTGTTTGTCAAATCTTATCTGGGTTCTGGCATCCTCCCAACTGTGTGTGTTTCATTATCTTTTGAATTCTGCAATTCCTTATCCTTCCCTGTCTCGTTAATTGCTGCAGCATGGTTTGTGTTGATTTTTATTTATAATTTATATGTATTTTGGGGTCAGACTGAATTTCTTCCCTTTAAAGATTGTTCTTGGGAGAGTTTTCTTTCCAGCTGATGATAACTGGGCATTGGGAAGTTGGAGAAATTAAAGAGACTTTACCTACTTTTGTGACTTTGTTGCTTTTGTGTCACACCCTGGTCATCACAGGTATCTTATGGAGCTCCCTTACCTGTGGGACCTTGAAGATGCTGAAGAGGGATGCCATTTGCTTTGAGAATTTGGAGCTGACATCTCCAACGACTGAGAGCAGTGTGTCCTGCTGGTCACATTTATAACCTGGAGCCAGTCGGCCTCGTGAGAGCAGATAGATGCTGTTTGAAGAAACTGATATCTCATCTTGGAAATTGCTGTAGATCTGGAAGCCAAGTGTGATGTTGGGGAGGAGAATAAAATCTTTGTTCACTTCTGTGACTGCAAACACCAAGGCCATGAAGTGCTGGTAGTTTTTGGGTATAAAGCTAGAGTGAGAAAAGGATTCAGAAATATTAAACCTCTATGTCTTTCTGAGAAAGGAAAAAAGCCTTTCTGAAGTCATGGGCCATTTTATATCTCTTTATTGTTCCTGCCTCCTTAATTTTTCTCCAGTGACTGAAATTTCCATATCCAAATCCTGCAACTGTCCTTCATGACTTTAAAACTACATTAATTTTACTTGTCTATTTCTACACAAAGCCAGCACAATTTCTAGTGTATTGTCTCTCTTCACTTTGTATTTTTTTTTATCTTCTTCCTAGTGAAGAGTGCTGGAAAGATTCAGAATTATAATCTATTATGTGAACTTGGGTCCTTGAGAAAAACAGAAAGATTTGAACTATACTAGGACATTGCAAACATCATTACATTAAGTATTTCCGAATGTAGCATCTGAACAAAAAAAACAAAGCAAAAACATTATCCTTTTATTCAAGGTGAAACTTACGAAAATGTGACATAATTCTGGAGTGGATGTTTTTCAAAGTGTTGCATCATAGAGAAAACAATGATTCTGAATGGTAAATTTGCACCAATAATGAGATCACCAGGTCTGTAATAGCCTTTCTTGGTCTGAAAAAGGTTTGTCTTCATGCATTTGGTTTCCATCCTCTTAGCACTAGTTGGAGGCAGGAGCTTGAAAAGCAGCATCAGCAACAGATGAGGCAGCCCAGTCATTCTTGTCACCTTCCTTCTTAGAACACAAATCAAGGTTTGTGCAGAAGCTGAAAAATCTCACCAGAGCTTAAGCACAATAAAAATCTTCTGTGCCACCAGATGCCCCCAGGGCAAATTTATATCAAACATGTTTCTTCTTGCCTGTATTTGGGCTTTGATCAAAGAGTCAACAAGCCCAGACATTCACTTTTTGCATGATAAGGTGAGGTGACATGTCCTGCCCACGGGGAGTTCTCAGAGCATCTTTTTAAAGAAGATTTTATCTTGGAAATGTTTTGTGAGTAGAAATCCACAGGGGACACGTTCTTCTGATGATTACATAGAAAGGCAATTATCCTATCCACTCAGCAATAGCTACTGTTCATACACCAGATGCATTAAAACATTTGTATCTTTTCTTGTTAATCCATAGAAGAGGTGTATTTGACAGTCAAGGTGAAGTATGGTATTTGACCTACAGGAAACACCTGCAGACAAGATGGAGTTTGGCTTGTATCATAGTTGGTTTGAATATTAGGACTGCTAATGGGGACATGGTGAAACATCACAATCAGTTGTACTCCAATAAGTGAGAGCAATAATGCCAATTTTGGATGGTATGTATGTATGTATGTATGTATGTATGTATGTATGTGTATGTATGTGTATATATACACATATACACTTTGGTTGTTCGGGTTTTCTCCCGCGTAAGATTCGAAGTATCTAGGCAACGTTTCGATGAAGTCTCATTCATCATCTTCAGGCTTCTGTCTTCGGCTCTTGCTTCTCAGAGTGATGTGAGATTGCAGCTGCTTCTTCCTTTTAACTGCTAGTGGGGGTGTGACTTGATTGGGTGGGGGCTTGGCTGTGTTCTGATTGGGTGGGGGTGTGTTCTCATTGGTAGGGGGTTTGGCTGTGTTCTGATTGGTTGGGGGGTTGGCCATGTTCTGATTGGTTGGAGGCATGTTCTGTTCAGGTGGGGGCTTGGTTGTGCTCAGGTTGGTCTTCATCGAAATGAGACTTCATCGAAACGTTGCCTAGATACTTCGAATCTTACGCAGGAGAAAACCCGAACAGCCAAAGATCCACATACAAATACCCATGAGAACCTCAGAAAACATATATATATATACATATATATATATATATATATGGATGGATCTTTGGTTGTTCGGGTTTTCTCCCGTGTAAGATTCGAAGTATCTAGGCAATGTATGTAGTTGTGCTTTTAAAGTTGTAGCAACGTTTCAGCAGAATCTCATCTGCCATCATCAGGCTCCTGTATTGTGTTTGTCTGTGAGTCAGATTTTTACAGTTGTTTCAGTTTTAAATTTGGGGCTAGCCTACTGCTGTGCCAGAATGGTTTTTTTCTTCATCCTGATTGGTTGGGAGTCTTGGTCTGTGTTTATTGGTCTTGGAGATTGCTGTGTTCTGCTTGATTAGTGTTTCTAATATCTTCTGTCTGTTTTGTGGCTATTTTTGTCTTGATTGGCTGGCAACATTGTGTTCCTGTATTGGAGGCTTTTAGTGCAGCTTGGCTCCGAGTAAATGGATGTCTTTCATTTGTGGTATCATCTCTTCTATTTATGCTTTCAGGTCTTTTTTCAATCTCTGTGGCTTCTCTGATAATTCTGTGGCTGGGGTTTTCTATAGTGGCTAGGGTTTTGGTGCCATTGAAGTTGATGCTATGACCTATGACCATGGAGACATTTTTGGACAGTGCTGGCTCTTCAGCTTTGAAACGGAGATGAGCAGTGCCCCCTAGAGCCAGAAATGACTAGTACATATGTGCAAGGGAACCTTTACCTATTTCTACCCAAACTGAGTATGAGGGAAAAAAGCTTCCAGCTTTTCCATCTCCCATTACCTAGTCAAAACTCAGGTCATTTCTGAGACTGGTGCCTGGAGGGGTTGAGGTCTCCCTGGGATAAATTTCCTCCCTCTAACAGACAATTCTTTCTTCCTTTTCACTGATGGCACTTAGATGTCTCCAGAATCTGCCATCTGTTGTTGCAAATTCTGCTTTTTTTCTTTTTATGAAGCACCAATAAGTAGATCGATACAGACTCAATACTTTGAAAGGACTGGAAACCTGAATGGGTGATTTGGGTTTTGTGTCACAGTTGCTGGGGAGAGATTTTCATTTCACAAAAGGAACACTTACACTTAAAAAAACTGAATTATAAATTAAAAATGCTTTCAACTAATGCTAAAATTAGTCTTAATACTAAAACTGTTGTCTACTTCTGCCTTTTTCTATAAGATCTTTATCCACACTATTTCTTTTAATGTCCAGTTTCACTGCATCTTCCTGATTTTTATATTTTTTCAGCTCTCTATTTTCTATAATGGCTTCCCAAATTTGGCAACTTTAAGACTTGTGGACTTCAACTCCCAGAATTCCTCAGCCAGCTAATTAACACCCTAAGATGGTTAGGTATTTCTGTATTGAAATAATGACCATTTAGGAAGTATGTTTATAGTGGTTCATCCATTCCAATATGCCATCCTTCCTCTGTTCAATAATCCAGATTATTTATGTAGAAATCTTTTTAGCTGATTCTCTGGCTGTACTTTATCCAGTTATCACTGCTTTCATCCTTAAACCTATCCCCCAACCATCACATATGTTGTCAAGGGAGTCTGAGGTCCCAAAGATATTTTTTTTCCAAAGGGCAACTGTATTTTCTTTGTTTTTCCTTTGAAGACATTTTGTTTCTCATCCAAGAATCTTCTTCAGTTCTGACTGAATGGGGGGAAGAGGGACATGGAAGGATTTATATTCCTTGCAGTCATCTAGTCATTAGCACTGACGATTGGTCATTAGTTCTCTAATGAGAGTCATTGAGGTCACTTTGGGGAGGGTATCTTTGCCCTCAGGCAAACTGTCAGCACTAAGGCATTGCTTTCTATATGGATCCCTTATTGTACACTTGTTTATACTCCTATATTTATTTTCTTAACCTTTATAGAAAGATCAGTTTCTTCCAAGAAAATATTCTGCAAATTAACAAAAGGTACAATTATAACTAATATACTGATTAAAAATTGCCTATTTGGTTATGCATAAAACATACTGATTCTGCAGACACACACATATGAACACACACACACACAGAGAGAGAGAGAGAAGAAGGGATTATTGTCAAGTTCAGAGTGTGCTTATGATATTGCAACCATTAGTATTGGTGGCGCAGTGGTTAGAATGCAGTATTGCAGGGTACTTTTGCTGACTGCTGACTGCCTGCAATTTGGCAGTTCAAATCTCACCAGGCTCAAGGTTGACTCAGCCTTCCATTCTTCTGAGGTGGGTAAAATGGGGATCCTAATTGTTGGGGGAAATGAGCTGACTCTATAAACTGCTTAGAGAAGGCTGTAAAGCACTGTAAAGTGGAATATAAGTCTAAGTGCTATTGTTATTATCGCTTCTCAACTTGCCCAAGAACTAGTGGGGGGAAAGGGTGAGATAGAATTCAGGCTCCACACTTCAAGAAGAAGAGCTGTGAGAGTCAAGGACACATCAGCAGGGGTTTGCCAAGACCAGAGACTTTTTCTCATAACAATACAATAACACTCAATTGCACAATGTGACCTGCCCTAATTGGGGGTGGGGAAAATCCAATTTGTAATTATGGGGGTTTGCACAGGAATTAGGTAGAACTGGTTTTGCCTTCATTAGTGCCAATATGATGTACTCAATAAAGTTTTGCATTCAGACTTCTGAAGGTCTCAAACGGACTTGCTTTGGTTGGGTTTATCAGTCAGAAACTTGACAATTGTGAAATTATAGGAGGACATACACACTCTTGCCATCTTTATTATGCTTCTTCCTTGGCTTCCAATGAACTCAGGCACACCAAAAAATTGGAGAAAACTGAAAGACCAGGTCTCAAATCTGAATGTCTGTGATCATACAGAGTCCACCAAGATTTAGATTGTGAATCTCACTGCTGGCACCAGTTTCTGTAGCAAAAAATACAGCCTCCCCCACTCCCCTCAAAAAACAACAACAACCAATAATCCAGACTTGCTACAGATTATTTATTCAGTGTACACTGGAAGAATTTTCCTCCAGAAAATAGTGGGAGGGAGTCCAACAGACAAAAGGATGCACTCATATTTCTACATTTCAAGAAAGGAAGATGAAATGACAACAGTATATACAGTATGCATATTTCATATGTGATGTAAGAAATATTCATAATTAATAAGCATCAAGTTACTTTCCCACCCATATACAGTTACTACCCTCAAGAAACAGTTATTCTCTAAATTAAATGAAACATATCAGTTGCATTTGCCATAGCAATTTTGGTAAAATGCTTTGAGAAACAAGGGTGTGATGGTTGCCACATGCAATCCTTCTATATTGCCAGCTTGTTAAAATCCACCCACTACTCCAAGAACTTCCTTTTCTCAGAATCCTATCTTCCAGTCACCCTTTGATGCTTTAAAGCAAAAACATTGGCCTAGAACAGCTTGGATCATTTTCTAGGTATGACTTGTTGGAACATGTTGAGAGTTGACATTCCTGTGTCTCACATTTCTACATTTCTTTTGGTTATAAGCTGCTCCTTTGTATTCAGATCTGGCCTCAGAATGATAATGAAGCACTTGGGGATGAAGACACAGCCCAGCAGACCAGTACTGGAAGACAAGATGGAGAAGACCTGAACAGCCACCATAAATTTTCCTTTGGTGCTGAGGTAGGTGGGCACAAAAGTCACCCAGACACTGCAGAAGACCAGCATGCTGAAGGTGATCAGCTTGGCTTCGTTGAAGGCCCCAGGGAGATTCTTGGCCAGGAAAGCCACCACGAAGCAAATGGCAGCCAGGAGGCCCATGTAACTGAGAATGATGCAGAACATGACAACAACTCCTTGATTGCATTGCAGGATGATCTCTCCAGTCTGAGAATGGAGGTCAGAGTCAGGGAATGGGGGTGAAACTCCCATCCAGATGGAGCAGATGATAATTTGCACAGTAGAACAAGAAAGGATGATGGAGTTGGCCAAGCTCTTCCCCAACCATCTTTTCACTCGGTTTCCTGGTTTTGTGGCAAGGAAAGCCAACACCACCATAATTGTTTTGGCCAAAAGAGAAGAAATGGCAACTGAGAAGGTGTTGCTGAAAACCATTTGTTGGAGAAGGCAAGAGACTTTCCTTGGTTGACCAATGAAGAGAAAGGGAGACAAGAAGCAAAGCAGGAGGGAGACCAGGAGAATGTAAGAGAGGTCTTGGTTGTTAGCTTTCACGATGGGTGTCTCTCGGTATTTAATGAATATGATTAATATAAACAGTGTGGTTAGGAACAAAAGTATTGCAAAAGAGACCAAGATGATGCCCAGAGTTTCTTCATAAGACAGGAATGTTATAACTTTGGGGATACATTGAACTCGGTCCTTATTTGGATATTTATCATCTGGACACTTGGTGCATTTTTCTGTATCTGAGAAAACCCAAAAGAAACCTTTCTTTAATATTCTATCTGTTAACCTTTATGAAATATCTTCTTGGGATGACAATTGATACCAGGAGCATTTTCCAAAATGCACTTATTAACATCTCCAGAGAATGAAATAAGAAGGATATCATTTTCTAAACAACAACAACAACAACAACAACAACAACAACAATAATAATAATAATAATAATAATAATAACAGCAAATCTCTAATACCCTATGAAATTAGGGGAAGTATTTCCTGTGTAATGTGCAGAATCTTTATAGAATCTACATTACAAGAGCTAAATAATGAGTCAGTTAGACTTTGAGGCAAAAAAACCTGAGTGCGCCAGGTTGTAATGAGGTGCACCCATAACTGTCCACATCCCCTCATTGTGGAGCAGCAATAACTTCTAGTCATCCACAAGGAGACACTCATGTAGAGATCATTGCAATAATTATTAACAAATTGCATCACTATTTGGTTTGGTGGCAGTTGTGCCCTGGATAGAAAGTCCATACAGAGAGTGGTAAGGGCAACCAAGAAGGTCTGAGGAAACTAGCTTCCTGTTATTCAGTGGGTACATGGATAATTTTGTATTTATTTATTTTGTGATGTTTATGTAGAGTATATTGTAATCAGTGACCCTTTGAGAGCTGTATGCAATGAAATTTCACTTTAACGTATTCCAATTAGTGTACATTCAAAGTGACAATAAAGTTATCCTGAGACAATTCCTCACATTTCAAAGAACTCAGATCTTCATAGAAAGGAAAATGTGGAAAGAAATATCCAAAATAAAAAGCAGAAGAGATATTTTCTCTGTCAGTAGTAAAGCTGGCCATACTCTCTAATCCCTATTAAGGTCTTTTTGCTATTCTTCCATTTTGAGAAGAAATCGTGCAGTCTGAAAATTTAAAAAAATCAGTTGAGGTTCATTTTCTCATTTAACTTTCACTTTAATGAAAGTGCTCTGGATGAATCACAAACCTGCCCTTTTCTTTGGTGTCACCTACCTTCCTGAGTGGAAATAGTCCCCTCTGGACAAGGAACACAATCATAGCAGCAAATTGGCTCGCCTTCTCGCTTCCGCTTGACAAATCCAGGATGACAACTTTCCACACATTTGGACTGAGGCAAAGGCTAAGGAGAAAAATAAGGAATGCCAAAGAAAATGTGCCTGTGCTAAGCAACCATGGAAAATGGAGGTAGATATGAAGTTTAGCTAAGTAGTTTGTCTGGGCTTCACTTGAAGAAATCTGAACTCTAATCCTGATCTCTAACCATTCAAGATCATATTCAGAATCATGATCATATGGAGAGAAGAGCAACAAAGATGATTAGGAGACTGGAGGCTAAAACACATAAAGGACAGCTGGCTGAATTGGGTATGTCTAGCTTAATGAAAAGAAGGACTAGGGGTGACATGATCGCTGCATTCTGGTATCTTAGGGACTGCACAAAGAAGAGGTAGTCAAACTATTCTCCAAAGCACCTGAAGGCCAGACAAGAAGCAATGGATGGAAACTAATCAAGCAGAGAACCAGCCTAGAACTAAGGAGAAATTTTCTGACAGTTAGAACAATTAATCAGTGGAACAACTTGCCTCCAGAAATTGTGAATGCTCCAACACTGGAAGTTTTTAAGAAGAGATTGGACAACCATTTGTCTGAAATGGTATAGGGTTTCCTGCCTCCCATGTCCTTTCCAACCTTAAGTCCAAACCTTAATGCAGACATTGGTTACAAACTGAGGCTATTAGCACCACAAATGCCAGCACTTGAAGGTTTCTCACCAGTTTGATGAAGATACTAATTTATAAAAGAAATATAAAAGATCCATAGTCTGTATCCTAACGAATAATCATGCAACATCCAATGTTGGTCATGGCTGAATCAGTTTAAATCAGGGTTCCACATCTTAGCATTTGAATGACATCTTTGTGAATAGTACTGAAGCTTCCACCACCCCCTTCAAAAAAAAAAAAAAACAGCAAGTTTTCTCCTAGGACAGGGGTCAGCAACTCACAGCTCTGGAGCCACATGTGGCTCTTTCATCCCACTGCTGCAGCTCCCTGTGCTCTGACCAAGGTTTATTGAGACACTAACAAACATTAGTTCCAAACCCCTTTTTTCTTTATTTCAACAGCTGTGAATTATAGTCATTCACAACCCATAATGAATTTCAAATAGTTTGTAAATAGTCCCATGGAAGTCTGCCAAAGTCCTTCAGGATAAGTCTGACAAGCACACACCTTTATCTTCCTTGAAATGCTACCAAGACTAAATTTCCAATTAGCTATACAAGGCCAAACAGAACACAAATTCAACACAGAGCTTCATGTTTCAAACCAACCAGTACAAACAAAGATGCTTTCTGCAAAGTTTCCTGTCCCTTTGCTCCTCCTTTATGTCTTATGGGAGGGCCAATCATCTCCAAACCTTACTGCCGAGTCACCCCTTCTTGCCTTCTGGCAGCTCTGTGCATGCATGCACTGGTAAAAGGCTCCCCCTGTACCTCTGTCTTGCTGCTGTCAGATTCTAGAGGCTCCGGAGTCAGCACATAATTCCCAGATGGCCCTGGCCCTGTTTCTATATTGGATGCAGAACCCTCATCCAAGTCCTCCCCAGACTTCTGGACTGGCCCATGTTTCTTTCCACCGTCCAACTCTGCTGCCAGCTCCACAGGCTGCTGGTGGACCCTGTTGCCAGTCAGCGCCACAATTGATAGGGTTTTAGGTTAGGACAGGTAGTGGAAAAAGAATGCCATGCTATGAGGAGACTCTATGGTGGGGGAACCGGACTTCCTGTCAGAAGAGCAAAAAGGACACCGTGCTAGGAGGAGACTATGGTGGGGGAACTGCACTTCCGGTCGGCTCCAGGATTGAATGGGGGCTACTGGTTAGGACCTTTGTGGCTCTTTGAGCATTTAAGGTTGCTGACCCCTGTGCTAGGGTATATTCAACTCCCAGTAAAGGTCTTCCATCATGGTGATTAAAGTTAACCCATAATGTTTTTAAAAAAGAGAAAACCTGATGATATTTTACCCACCTTGTTGAGTAATTTCAGCCGTGAAATTGTTCCTTGGTTGATAAAAAGCCTCTGTATTTCTATACTCCCCACTTTCATTTTGAGCAACCCCCCATTGGGCATAAACACCTGGCACTGAATGTCCATGTCTGCAGTTACTTCTCCATTTTTGTCCAGGTAGAGTTTCCAGTGGGAAAGATTATAGAACTCATTCTTCTCCAGAAAGGGATGGAACTGGAATGAAGACACATTAGGGATTTAAAAGCAGAAAACTTTGTTTCTTATCCTATGTGGTACTTTAATGTTACCCCTTTCCTTTATTTTATTCTGTTTGAAACATTAAGATACAAATGCCAAAAATAAAAAAATAACACAAAAAAAGAACTAAACAAAACAACACAACAACAAATGTGCATTAAAAAAAAGTCACATACATAGTAACAAGGTCTATAATATTTTGTACAAGAACTTCAATAATGCACTAATAAAGGACAACCAAACTTGATAAGAACATTTGTGAAAATATCAAAATGGTAGATGATTGTGAACTAAATGTGAGTCAGCATTGAGATGTTCATGAATAAGAAGGTAAATATACCCATAAGTATCTCAAGATATGAACGTTCTGATTTGGGTAGACCCCAACTCAAGTCTCAGGCACAACACTTGCAGGCACAACACTTGGAGAAGACATTTCATGAAATGATCAACTTGGAAGGTCAAGGAAGTCAGGAAGAGATCAAAGGAGCTGCTCTTAGCTTTACAGGATCTGGAAATCAGGAGTCTGGAATCACCTTTTCCAACTAACACGGTGTCTCAATTGAGAAAGAAAGAGGCAACACTCTTCCAATAACTGAAATATGTTATGTTGAAAGTTAAAAAACTGTTATTCTAGAGTCTGGGATATGGCGCACACACTTAGTGCACTTAGACTTATATTCCACTTCACAGTGCTTTTACAGCCCTCTTTAAGCGGTTTATAGAGTCAATATAATGCCCCCAACAATCTGGGTCCTCATTTTACCTGCCTTGGAAGGATGGAAGGCTGAGTCAACCTTGAGCCAGTGGGACTTGAACTGCCAAACTGCTGGCAATCGGGGATGACATGATTGCAGTATTCCAATATTTGAGGGGCTGCTACAAAGAACATAGGGTGAAATTATTTTCCAAAGCACCAAGAGACAGGAAACAATGGTTGGAAACCAGTCAAATAAAGAAGCAACCTGGAATTAAGGAGAAGCTTCCTGACAGTGAGGACAGTTAAGCAATGGAAGAGCTTTCCTTCAGACATTGTGGGCGCTCCATCACTGGAGGTTTTTAAGAAGAGACTGGACAGTGACTTATCTGAAATGGTGTAGGGTCTCCTGCTTGAAAAGGGGCTAGACTAGAAGACATCAAAGATTTCTGTTCTGTTCTGTTCTATTCTATTCTATTCTATTCTATATTCACCAAATCTGTTGGCCTTTTGTAGCACAAGGATGTTGACAAGATTCCCCTTTTTCTCTAATGGATTCCTTCTTCAAAGGAACTTAGTTTGTTGGATCCTTGTTGGGACTCCATACCTGCCATGGCTGCAACCTTGGGGGCCCCCATGTTCCTTGGGCCTCCTTCCTTCTCCTCCAGGATCTGGATGAATATGCAGCCTTCAAGATGTGGGCCAGAGTCATATAGATAATGTAAATAGAGCCACTATTTGCAACCTGCTTCCCATTCAATTTATCTTGTGTCTTCACTGGAGTTTTTTGGGTGCATCTTTTCCGGCCTTTGACAGAAAAAACATGCTTTGAAAAAGAGCAGTGAAAATTCTTGTCTTCATACTGGGGGTCTATAAAGGAATAATTTTGAAAAGCACCATATTTTGGGCTTATTTTTTGCATAAATCCAAAGTGCCAAATACTATGAATGTATTTGTGACGTCCACGGTGATACATTATATATGTTCCCAAAGTTGTGGTGATCCAGACTTTCCCTGTAATGGGTCCTGAGAAAGTGTCAAGTGTTAGTTGAAAAATATTAAATGTGCTTGAAACGATAATACGTCCTATGAAGTGAACAAAGACATTAACTTTTTTCCACTGAGAAAACCTGGCATCCTTGAAGGGTTCTGGAAATCCAGTCATCGAGAATCGTTGTGATATAATGACACAAATTCCATTCCTGACAAGTAAAGGTGGAAAACTCCTCAGGAAATTCTCTCCCTCCTTTGTGTCTGGAGCAAGGAGACCAGTCAAGGTCCATCTGAAATGAAGAAGCAATTGGACAATTGCCAAATACTGAAACCCTTCTTTGGGGAACATCCAGTGGAAAAAAGGGAATGTACTTTTATCTCTCAGTGTCTCTGAAGCAATTTTATCGATAATCTGGGAAAATAATGAAGAATGCTGTGTTATATTTGAAGTCAGGTCAAGTCTAAAATGTGAGTTTTTAATATATCCAACTTCATTTTGATAAACATCTTGGAATAATTTGTTGATTGGCCATTGTTTAGAATATTAAATGCAGAATATTAGGAAGACTTTATATAAAAATAGCGCCACAGTGGTAAAAGTGCAGGACTGCAGGCTACTTCTGCTGACTTCCAGCTGCTTGCAGTTTGGAAGTTCGAGTCTCACCGACTCAAGGTTGACTCAGCTTCCATCCTTCTGAGGTCAGGAAAATGAGGACCCAGATTGTTGGGGGCAAAATGCTGACTCTGCTTAGAGACTGTAAGACACTGTGAAGCAGTCTAAGTGCTATTGCTATCTTTCTCTGCTTCTATATTTCAGATTCTTTGTGCAGCCATCTTTTTACTTTCTTCTCCAGTTATGAAAGAGACAGGGAGACCATAGTTCCTCATATAATTTCTCAGTTGTATAAGCCAAGAGAAGTTTAGCTGAAATTTTGTCTGTTCTAATAGACACAGTTTTGGGAGTTCTGTAGTTTTCATAGCTTTCATTTTGCATCAATAATTAATGATGATAATTGATGTTGATTAACATCAGACCAACAAACAAGAAGTAAACAATACTCCAATCAAGGAACTGCCAAACAGTAGACAGCCCACCAAAAACCTTCCAAGACCATTCCCACCAGCGCTTGCAAAGCAAGTCACTAGAAGATAAAATTGAGAGCATTCCCCATTCTTCACTAACACTGATAATGTTACTTACTTTGGGTAATGAAAGATCTGCAAGAAAATAACCAAACTCAGAAAGCAACAAGAAACCCTTATTTGAACACCGAGCTACAAATATTCCCCTTTATCAATTTGCCCCCATCCCTCTATTGATGCAGCCTAGGTCTTCATTGGCTTTTTTGGCAGCTATAGCATACTGGTGTCTCATATGTAAGTCAAGGTTCAGTAGGACACCTAGATTTCTCTCACAGTTGTTACTGCTCAGCCAGGCATCCACTATTCTATAACTGTGGATTTAGTATTTCTTCTCTAGGAATAGGACCTTGCTTTTCTCACCACTGAATTGCATTTCATTGAATTGGGCCCAGTGATTAAATCTATCAAAATCCTTCTAAATCTTGAGTCCATTTTCCAAAGTGTTAGCAATTTCCCCCGGCTTGGTGTCATCTGCAAATTTGATGAATTCCTCTCCTTTCCTGTGATGACCCAGGGTGGGATACACAGCCACAAAAAACGGGTGAAGCCCCTTTTATTCTTTCACTTTGCAAGATCCGAATATCCTTGACTGGAGGCAGAAAACTCCCACACAAGCAGTTACAAGAAGGAGGAAATGCTGTTTAAATTATAAAGAGTAAAAAACAACACAAACCAGGCAAGATAAGGGCTTGAAGACATCTACAGATATCAGAACACACACTGGGAAGGACACCAAACAGAGAGGAATAATAAATTAGAGATATTTCCATACTTTTTTACCAGCACTCGCCCATACGTATGTCTGTCCTCTTATCCAGTTGTCACAGCTGCAGCCCATGAAAAGGATCAAGGCCCTCTCCTTCCCAGTAGACCACAACTCTCCCTTATCCTCTCCTCCCTGCATGCCCAAGGATGGAGAGGGGATGTACCTGGGTCCTCCTCTGACTGCCCAGCCAGCCTCCTCCACAGCATCCAGAGCCACACTTCCACTCCTTGTCAGCTGTTCCTCCTCTCCCTCAGTGTCAGTCTCCACCAGGGGCATGACATTTCCTCTCTTCTATATCACTTTTGAAGATGTTGAAGAACACTTAGGTATGAAGGGGGCCCATGACAGAATCTTGGGGTACCACACTGCATTATTTCCTCCATATGGATGCAATACTATTGAGGACTACACTAGTGGTGGAATTCAAACATTTTTTTTACTATTGGTTCTGTGGATGTGGCTTGGTGGGCATGGCAGGGAAAGGATACTGTAAAATCTCCATTCCCATCCCACTCCTGGGAGAAGGTTACTGCAAAATCCCATTCCCTCCTCACCCCACTAACCTGCTTTCTAACTCCATTCTCCTGTGCAGGGCAACAAAAGAAGACCCAGCTGATCAACTGAGGCTCAGGAGGCAGAGAATAGATAGGAGTGGGCCCAGTCAAAGGTGGCATTTACTGGTTCTCCAAAATACTCAAAATTTCCACTACCAGCTCTCCAGAACTGGACAGGACCTGCTGAATACCACCTGCTGGATTACATGCTGAGTGCGGCTGGTTAGTCAAAACTCTTTCTAAATCTCGAGGAACCATCTCACCCCAAAAGAATTGGCTGGCCCCATTTGTGCCAGCAGAGGAGGCATCCTGCAGAATCCTTCAATCAGGAAAATCTGGTTGGCTAGGTCCAGAAGAAGAATGTTCTCTGCCATTGCTCCTGCCCTTTGGAACATCTTGTCCTCCAGAATAAGATCAGTTCCCACTGTTCTGACCTTTTGCAAGAGCCCGAAGACCAGGCTTGGTCACTTGGCTTGTGGCCCTAATGGGGAAGTGTCATGTTGGAGGTGGTTGATTGATCAATAGTAGATCTCACCTCCCAGCCTACTCATCCTTCTCTCTCCCACCCCATGTTTTATTTATAGTTGGTAATTTGTATTTTTATTGTATTTTAGTGCTATTACAAAGCTGTTTTTGGTAGATGTATCAATTTTAATATTTTAAGCTGCTCAGAAACACTTTGCAGTGAAATAGGTGGCAAACAATTTTAATAAATAAATGAATAAATAAATCTTGCTTTGGCAAGAAATTATTTGTTATTTACTCACCAAGCTATTAACTCTACTCAATAGGAACTTAGCATCTCTTTTAGCCATAATATCTATTTGACCAATGGGACAATAACTGATTATTTTTATATTCTTTTTTATATTTAGAAAATATTATTGTCATCTTCCATTATAGGAGGTATTATTATTTATACATACGTGTAAATCAACCTGTCAATAGTGGGACTCACAATATAAGATTTTTTGTGTGTGAAAAGTTCATCTTGTAGAAAATAAACTCTATGGACTCTGTTGCTCTTCGAGCTTTAATGATAAATTTAATTCTAAGTACAAAAGGTAAAAATAGTTGACATGTTGGCTAATATGCTTGTAATTTTTTTAAATAAAGTGATTAATTAATGGCAGTGGTCCTTATGAGGCTTTAGGACACATATGTTTATCAATGGTGGATAAGATTGGAATTAACAGAGTAACAGAATTGGAAGGGACCTTGGAGGTCTTCTAGTCCAACCTCCTGTTTAGGCAAGAAACCCTACACTTCAGACAGATGGTTATCCAACATCTTTTTAAAAACTTCCAATGTTGGAGCATTCTCAATTTCTGGAGGTAAGTTGTTCCACTGATTAATTGTTCTAACTGTCAGGAAATTTCTCCTTTGTTCTAAGTTGTTTCTCTTCTTAATTAGTTTCCACCCATTGCTTCTTGTCCTGCCCTCAAATGCTTTGGAGAATAGCTTGATTCCCTCTTCTTTGTGGCAGCCCCTGAGATATTGGAACACTTCTATCATGTCTCCCCTAGTCCTTCTTTTCATTAAACTAGACATACCCGATTCCAGCAACTGCTCTTTATATGTTTTATCCTCTAATCCCCTAATCATCTTTGTTGCTCTTCTCTGCATTCTTTCTAGAGTCTCAACACCTTTTTTACATCGTGGCAACCCAAACTGAATGCACTATTCCAAGTGTGGCCTTACCAAGGCATTATAAATTGGTATTCACACTTCAAATGATCTAATTATGCAGCCTAGAACTGTGTTGTCTTTTTTGGCAGCTGCTGCACACTGTTGGTTCATTTTTAAATGGTTGTCTACTAGGACTCCCACAGTTACTACTATTGAGCAAGGCACCACATATATTGTACCTGTGCTTTTGATTTTTCTTGTCTAAATGAAGAACCTTATTTTTTTCACCACTGAATTTCATTTTGTTAAATAGAGCCCAATGTTCAGGTCTGTCAAGATCCTTCTGCATCTCAAGCCTATCTTCTGGAGTGTTGGCTATTCCTCCCAGCTTGGTGTTTTCTGCAAATTTGATGAGTTCCCCATCTATCCCTATTATATGTCCTATTTTAGTCATGGCTCAGGCAGGAAACCCTAGCCCATTTCGGACAAATGGTTGTCCAATCTCCTCTTAAAAATTTCCAGTGTTGGAGCATTCACGTCTCTCTCACAATTATTTTCATGAATATGATATTTTTTCAGTATTATCATTTTTCTAAGATCATGCTCAAGGTTGATTCAGCCTTCCAACTTTCTGAGGTCTGTAAAATGAGGACCCAGATTGTTGGGGGCAAATGCTGATGTTGTAAACCACTTAGAGAGGGCTGTAAAGCTCTGTGAAGCAGTATATAAGTCTAAATGCTATTGCTATCATACAAATTATGAGCTTTCTATCAGTGTTACACTATCCTATTGTACAGAATCCTTTGCTTGGATGCAGAGTCTCTCCTCACCTTCACAAGTATGCATCAGAAGCCCCCAAAGCAATAGATATGCTATCAAGAGAGGATATGACTGTTTTAATACATGCTCCCATTCTAACATGTATCCCAGTTCTCAGCCATGACACTTACATAGGTGTCATAGTGAAAAGCAGCTCTAGAACTCCATTGAGAAGATACGTTTGGATCTATCCTGCACCCACTACCACCCCACTCACTTTATTATACATAAAGAAACACACACACAAACCTGTGGGACTTTGTAGGGGCCTACTAATGTTGACATCTGGATGGAAATCTCCCTGTCAGCTGCATCAAGAAGAGCCAAAATGTTGTCCTTCTTTCCACAGCTATAGTTGGGAACATTGGCTTCTCCAGTAGAGAGCATGTCCAGCAAAACATCTGAAGTGCCAAGAGTTTTCAAATAGTTGTCATGGATACTGTAGCCAAGTGTGAGATTGCACAGGAGCTGGATATTCTTGTTGATCTCTTGAATGGTGAAAATAAAGCGTTCTATTCCTTTGCGATCATAAGGTACACTAGCATAAAACATGCTTTGATTAATACAAGCATCATCAACAGCAGTAATAAAATACTTTTCCCTCCAATGTCATTCTCTTTATCAAAACATGACTATTGAGTTTGAAGCCAATACTTATTAAAAACAAGAGGCAAATGATAGTCACCCATCAAATTTAATATTTGTAAATGTTGAGAAAATGGAAAGCAGATAAGGATCACAATTAGTCTATTATTTATAGCAGAGTCATTTTCATCAGCATAGTACCCTGTCTGCAAAATAATTATTTTTTTAAAGTACAACCGTGATAAAAGGAAGAGGATATTTCACAAGTGACTCAGAAAAGCTGTTCTAAAAACAAGTCATCCTCTATTCCTATAAAGGATCAGACATTCAATATCAATGAGCAGTTATAAAAATATAAAAATATTGGTTTAACTACAACAATCACTACTTTAAACAAAAGTCAGTATTCAAGTCATGAATTCTAGACTGGATGTGGCAAGGAAAATAATGTGGATTTCTTTTAGGCATTTTTTTCTGCTCCATCTTTATGTTTGTGTGTCTTTCCATACAAACAAAAGAGAAAATCCATGGAAATCTGATCAATCAACAAAATTAATCACTTCCTGAAATATAGTATAGTAAGCAGAATAAGGAAAAAATAATGAGAGTTTTAGAACTGCAGATGGAAGGAATACAATTTCATTGCACTGAATAACTTACAAGTGAGATTGAGTATAAGGAAGACAGTCGAAAAAAAGACTTCTCTGGTTTTGTGTTGCTGCACTGGAGACTATACCGATGAGATGGTCTCCTGGCCTGTAGTAGCTCCACAGTCTTTCTTTATCCTGGTACACCATATTGAGTGGGCACTTCATTCTAAGCTTCCCAGAGACTGGCTGGGACACCAGTAGCATCAAAAGCAGAAGCAGAATATGCATAATTCATGGAGCTGAATCAATCGCCTGTTTCCAAAGAAGAGTTAGATTATCTCAAAGCACTCTCAGAAAATGGACCTCCAGTGTCTTTTCTTATTGAAACAGAAACAAACTGAGCTTCATCTGGAAAAGAGGAAAAGGTACATTCAGCAGCACAGCCCCTGCCTGTGTCCTAAATCTTGTGCAAACCATTCAGCATGAGTAGAGGCTTATATCTTCTTCTGATGCAAGATCTATTCCACGTTGCTTCAGTCTGACATCATGTCAAAGGCAGACACTAGAAAAGTAGCAATAGAAGTCTTAAAGCCTAGGATTGTGATAATTACCGTGGGTGATAATTTGTCCTCTTCCAGGGCTCCCCATACAGAAGGGTAGTCAGAGAAAAGGATTCTTGTGAAATGTTGCAGATAAATCCCTGGAGACACCTTTCTATATAATGGCTGTTATCCTTCCTGTCAGGACATGTACAAAAAGTGTTGCTCGAGGAAGATGCTCCAATATGCAGGGAATTGACTTTTGCTGTCTGCCATTTTGGCATATGGTCTCCAGAGAATACTAGAGAAGATCACCCTGAGCTATGCAGTTTGGTGGCAGTCTAGGTTCTTCACACTTAACTCTAATACTCTCTGACATTTTCTGCACCCTTGAACCCTGCCTAATGTTAAGAGCGTGTCTTTGTGATTTTCTTTTTTATGAGATCCTCAGATATTAATCCTAATTTGGCTCTGATTTTAAAATTCCTTGTGCCTGAAGTGACATTTCATTTCTATCTGTTCTAGAAGTATATTTTTTGGATGAAAGCTGACTAGGAGGCAGGGAAGTGACAATCTGTAGACTGTATTCTTGAGTAAATAGGGAGAAATTTAAAGAAGGGATAGAAATTTTTACTTTTATTTTCCTGGAGTCCCTGTTGTCCTTCAATATTCCTGGAAGACATTGAAGTCCTTTATATTTTGAAGTTTCATAGTTTATTAAATAACGAATGGATTGTCAGTATTCCAACCAAACTCTCCATCCCAAATTCAGCACTCAGAGACAAAGTCCATCCAAATAAGAATTATTAGAGAAGTCATATTGGCACTGTTAGGAATGCACATCTGGGGAAAATCTGAATCTGAATTCCCACATTTCCTTCCTGCTACACTAAAACTCACACCCAGTCCCTGTTGATGATTTTTTAGTCACATTCTCCAATCCACCTCAATTCTGAACTCCTGCCAAGTGCAGTCACTCCCCTCCAAACTCCAGTGACTTGACGTTGAGCTTTTGTGAAAGAATGTTGTTGTGGCTGTCCTTCCTCCTCACTATTCTCTCATTCCTACAGCTGCCTATTCCCCCTGTGGCAGCCCTAAATCTGAATCAAGATGGATCCAGGGCTGACAGGCTGCTTCCCCTCAAGTGATGATAATGTCCTGAAATGAAACCAATGACAGGAGGTTAAAATCCACACCAACTAACCACCCCTTCCTCCCCCAGGAGGCCCCTTTGGCTTATTGGGAAATTTTTCCTGAAACTGCTTCACTAATCTATCTGCTTTTACATCGCAACTTTTTACCCAAGTAGCTTCAGACAAAGGGTATCCCTTCCCATGAATGAGATATTGTAATTAGCCCAGAGGTGGTATTCAACAGGTTCTGAAGAACCGGTAATGGAAATTTTGAGTAGTTCAGAGAACCGGCAAATGCCTGATTTAACAGATTTAACAGATAATTAGAGTTGGAAGGGACCTTGTAGGTCATCTAGTCCAACCCCCACCCACCCAAGTGGAATACCCTACACCATTTCTGACAAATGGCAGTCCAATCTCTTCCTGAAAGTCTCAAGTGATGGTGCTCCCACAACTTCCGAGGGCAACTTCTGTTCCATTGGTTGATTGTTCTCACTGTCAGAAAATTTCTCCTTATTTCCAGGTTAAATCTCTCCTTGTCCAGTTTCCATCCATTATTCCTTGCCTGGCCTACAGGCACTTTAGAAAATAGCTTGACCCCTTCCTCTCTGTGTCAGCCCCCCAAATATTGGAAGACTGCTATCATGTCTCCCCATTACTAGACTAGCCAAGCCCAGTTCCTGTACCGTTCATTGTATGTTTTAGCCTTATTCTGTCCTGTTTCATGCACAGAGGTGGATTTGTGACTGTGCAGATGCAGATAGATAATTCCACAAAGCATCCATAACAAAGTACATTTATTGGTACATCAGGTATCTTCATAACTCACATTTGTGAGGAAGCTCTTCTATAATGACCAATCCTTTGTATATCAGCATTGCAGGTAAAAGATGGTTATTTTCCTAACCCATCACGTAGTGGTAAGATGCTTATCAGTTCATGAGTCCAGGCAAGAATGGAGAAAACCTCCCTCAACCCCTCGAGGGTCAATTTAGTGACCAATCAGGATTGCAGATGTGGCCACGTGACATGAACTACATTTCCCAGGATACCTTTAACTACACTTCCCATGATGCATTTCCTTAAGGGGACAGCTCACAATTCCTAAGTAACTATCCAACTCCCATAGACTGGCTGGGACAGTACAAGTTTCCAGTCTCCTAATCATCATGGTTGCTCTTCTCTGTACTTTTTCTAGAGTCTCAACATCTTTTTTTATAATGTGGTGAACAAAACTGGATGCAGTACTCTAGCTGTGGTCTTACTAAGTTTTATGGAGTGGTATTAGTACTTCCCTTGATCTTGATTGTATCCCTCTGTTAATACAATTTAGGATTGCACTAGCTTTTTTGGCTGCTGCTGCAGACTGCTGGCTCATATTTAGCTGGTTGTTCATTAAGACTCCAAGATCCCTCTCACAGTTACTGCTATTGAGCCTGGTTTCACTCAGTCTATATGTGTACTTTTGGTTTTTCGTGCCTAAGTGTAGGACTTTACTTTTCTCTATATTGAATTTCATTTTATTAGATACGGCCCAGTGTTCTAGTCTGTCAAGATCCATCTGGATCTTGAGCCTATCTTCTTGGGTGTTAGCTATTCCTGCCAGCTTAGTATCACCTGCAAATTTGGTAAGTTCCCCTTCTATTCCCTCATCTAAGTCGTTAGATGCCACCTCTGACCGGCCTCACCCCCATCTATTCTCTGCCTCCTGAGTCCCAGATAATCAGTTGGGTCTTCTTTTGTTGCCTTGCATAGGAGAACAGAGCTGGAAAGCAGGTTAGTGGGATGGGGGGGGGGAAATGGGGATTTTATAGTATCCTTCCCCTGGAGTGGGGTGGGAATGGAGATTTTGCAGTATATCCTTCCCTTACCACACCCACCCAGCCATGCCCAACAAGCCACACCCACAGAACCAGTAGTAAAAAATTCTGAATCCCACCACTGAATCGGCCCCTACGTAACCAAGAATCAAGAGCCTTCTTTACTTCATAACTCTTTTCACCATGGACTATTGGTTGATCTCTAAGTCTCAGTTGGGAAGAAACAGCCAGAGTCAACAAGCTACTAAGGAAAACTGGATGCACCTTCCCCAATAACTGAGGGAGACTTAATTGCACAGTCACTGGATTTATAATTTTCAATATTCAATATTTATTTTATTTGTCAATTGTTTACGAGATAATAAGTAAAAGTGTATACATAATTATGAATACATGAAATGGGTACATATAAGAAAAATAAAAGAAAAATAAACAATAGGACAGGGACGGTAGGCACGTTGGTGCGCTTATGCACGCCCCCTACAGACCTCTTAGGAAAGGGGTGAGGTCAATAGTAGACAGTCTAAGGTTAAAGTTTTTGGGGTTTGGGGAAGAAACTACAGAGTCGGGTAGAGTATTCCAGACATTGACCACTCTGTTGCTGAAGTCGTATTTCCTGCAATCAAGCTTGGTGCGGTTAACCTTGAGTTTGTATCTGTTGTGTGCTCTTGTGTTGTTATGGTTGAAGCTGAAGTATTCATTGACAGGTAGGACATTGCAACGTATGATTTTATATACCATGCTTAAATCAGACCGAAGACGGCGTAATTCAAGGTTTTCTAGTTCTAGAATTTCAAGTCTGGTGGCATAAGGTATTCTACAATGAGTAGAGGAGTGGAGAACTCTTCTTGTGAAATATTTCTGGACTTTCTCAATTGTGCTAAT